TTCCCACTTTCTCCTTCACTGTCAACAAAGAAATTTCATCACTGTGGGAATTTGACACAGTTTAGGTTTTTGTGTAACTGTTTTTTCTTTTTAATATTCACAGAGGTGCCTCAGCAGCGAACAAGCAGCTATGAGTTTATTCCCCCCAACAGTAAGTTAATCGTGACTCAAATATAAACTGTTTGGTCAAAAAAGTCACACTGTAATATATATGGTACATATTCATTGTGATATTATTTCTATTTCTATAACCTTATGCAGCATCACAGTATTATTTCCATCCACAGCTTTTCGTCCAGTTTAATAATAATGTATACTTTATTGATCCCCGTGGGAAAATTACTTTTTTTTTCTCTGTATTTGATCCATTCACTCAGCAAAGCAGTGGGCAGCCACTAAGCAGGCACCCAGGGAGCTGTTTGTAGGGACAGTACCTTGCTCAAGGGTGCCTCAGTGGATTCAAACCCCAGCCTTCCGATCATGGGGCGACCCCTCTACCTACTGAGCTGTCCCTGCCTCAGTTGTGCATCTCGCTGATGGGAAAGTCTAACAGCACCTCCCAAAGATTCTCAGTGTGGTTAATGTCTAGACTCTGGGGCCAATCCATGTGTGAAAATGTTTCATGATCCCTGATTTCACAATCTGAGTCAGAAAATATCCACTGATGGAAAAAAACATGACAATCCAGTATATTCAGTCAACCGTCATCTTTGTTTTGGATGACATAACACGACAGAATCTCAGGCACTGGTTTGGCTTTGAGGGCAACCATGTACCAAACGGCTGAGAGCAGCCGGCCTGGGTTCTTGTCCAACCCGTGGCCCTTTGCCACATGTCTGCCCCTCTGTCTCTGTCCTTTCTTCATTGCATCTATCAAATAAAGCTGAAAAAGGCCCAAAAAAACTGTTTAAAAAAAAAAACAGCACTACAGAACCTGGACCTGACCAACTGGAGCAACTCCAGGTCACAACCTGATAACTAGACATGATGTATGCATCACTTTTCCAGTGTTTCTGCTCCCAATCAAACTGAAACATTTTCTGCAGATTAAGAAGATCAAATCTCATCACATTTAAAACAGTTTCAGTTCAACCACAACAGTAAAAGAGGAAAACGTATAAAGATCAAATGAGTGATTACAAGGACAAAAGGAAGTAGTTTTATCCACGAGGACATCGAGCACTTGTGAAATGTTGAACATGGAGCTTCCTGCATAAACACACCCGTGTAGCTCTCTGCTGAAGGCCGCCCAAATCCAACATGGCGGATGAGCAATGATTACGAATGTGACGGTTAACACGAACAAACAAACAAACAAACAAACACTGACGTTATCTAACTGAGTACCATCAGAGTCAGACTGGGATCGCTCTGAAATCAAACAGTGATAATAAAAAGCTTTGTGCGGTCGGTCTGTTCACTTCCGTCTGTTTCCGCTTCAGCAGCTGGAGTTAATCTGATTTTACCTGAAAACTTTAAGTTTCTACATTTCTGTCAGTTTATTAAAAGAAACATC